AATGAATGGATGGGCTGAAGATTATTTAATTTCTTTTATTTTAGTAAACGCTTTAATCTTGTTAGGGGTTTGAGCACATCCCAGCATGCATCGGGCTCCACCTGAGCTTTAAAAGCAATTTTAAGGGCTAATAATGTGTTTTAAGTTATGCTCTTTGCTCAGACTTGATTATTTTTTATCAAATTAAAGACTTCAAAGACCTGCTTCATTATTTACTGTTTGGCAACACATGTACTAAACTTCGCTTGAAATTGCCCACTTTGTATTGTGCCGCTACCCACAGTTCCTGGTGCTGTGTGGCCCCGCCTACCGCCCCACGGAGGAGATCGACCTCCGCAGCATCGGCTGGGGAAACATCTTCCAGCTGCCTTTCAAACACCTGAGGGACTACCGGCTGCGGCTGCTCTGCCCCTTCTTCATCTACAGCGGCTTCGAAGTGCTGTTTGCCATCAAGGGATTCTCTCTGGTACTGCTGAGACGGACATGTGTGATAGATGGATGATGTGTTTTTTGTAAATAAGACTTTAACCTTTGCTTTATTTTCCTCCACAGTCCTACGGTGTCTGCGCTTTGGGCTTGAAGAAACTGTGGCTCCTCGTAGTCGTCTACGGCCTCTCCTGTTCCGTATTTTCCTCCCTCTCCCTTTGCCTCCTGCGTCTCCCGCGCTGGCTGTGCCTGGTGGGGGGCGCCGCCGTGCACGTGGCCCTCCTGGTGGCTCTGATGGTGTTTTCTCCAGAGCCCAGGGACCAGAGTTACCAGGGCCCTCTGCTCGTGATCTCGGTGCTGTGGGGACTCGGCACCGCTCTGAACAAGACCGGTGTCAGCAGTGAGTATCGTCAGCGATCCAGGGGTCAGTATTTGGTTTTTGTTTTTTTTCACCTCAGCATGACCTCCTCTCTGTGTGTGTTCCAGCTCTGCTCGGGATGCTGTATGCTGAGGAAAAAGAACGTCTGGACTTCGTGTACACCATCTACCACTGGTTCCAGGCCATCGCCATCTTTATAGTCTACCTCTGGTCCAACCTGCCCATGAGGGTTTGTGACTGTGTGCTTATTCTGGAGACTGTTAAGCAAGTGTTTATAGTGTTTTCCTTTTTCAACCCATTTCTTTTGCCCTTCCCCTTCAGGCCAAACTCTCCATCCTGCTGGCCACCGTGCTGCTGGCCTGCTACTGCTACTGGGTGATGGAGCGCCGCCTGGCCAGGAAAGTACCGTACAGGCTGCCGCGCATCCCTCGGCCACGACACAAGGTAACCGATCACAGTCTGACCACAAGATTCTGGTCATTTTGTATATCGGATTTAAAGAAACAAGCCACCCAGCTACAAGGATCTTGCTGTAAAAACTTTTTAGGAAGTTCTGCAACCTTCTAGTTTTTTGATTTAGTTTCCCAAATGTTGCTCATAAACGCAGGATATCAATTCTGCAAAGTGGTTTTAATGTTTCCAGTGGTAGGTTTTTTATTTTATCTATTTATTTATTTAGTTAGTTAGTTTCCAAAAAGTTGTTCATAAAAGTAGGATAAATTCTTTAAAAATGTTCTTCAAATGTTTGGTCGTAACATTGCTAGGCTGCTATGCCCCAACATTCTTAAAATGTTTTCTGAATGTTGGATTGGGTACTTCCTTTGTTGTGTTTTATGATATGTTACCTCAACAACAACCCCAAAACATCCTCAGAGCATTGCAGGCAAAATGTTCTGCCTTTTTGTTATTAAGTCATATTACAGGAACGTTTTAGACATCTGAAGCCTCGATAGCAGCAGTTATTATTTCAAATGATAAATGCCCTCAAAAGGTTCTTTTAACATTTTGTTGAAATGTTTTTGTTTTTTTTTCTCCAAAATAATCATGAGAACTTTAAAGCAATGCTGTGGGAACGTTCCCTGCTGGTTGGGATTAAAGCATTTTTGCATATAGGCCACACACTGTATATAAATCACATGAATAATTTTCTATATAAATGATGGATATCTTACATAACTCCCACTGGTGCTCTCATGTAGAAATAACTTTGACTTTTTAAACCTTTGCTGACAAGATCAATACTGGTCCTGAATCTGTTTGTGTTCATCTGCTAAAGCTGGAGATTAATTAGAAGTTTAGGTCTTGAAAACAATAAAAAAATATGTCTAAAGAGCTGTAATACATAGATTATACGAACACTGCAATGCTGAACAGAACACTGGGCTTTGTGGAATGTTTCACTGACACACAGGTTTGTAATGACGTAACAATTTGTTTGGGGTAGAAATTAAAAATATCCCACTCAAATTATTATTTAATTTAATTTAATTTTTTCTGTTTTACAAGTCTTAAAATATTATATTCATTGTAATATGTATGATAACATCTGGTATTTGATAATAATTAAAGAGAGTTTCACAGTGATCAATGTGTAATGAAGCCACTTTAACCCTCTAAACCCCAAAACCTGCTGGCAAGTTTGAAAGGTACAATATATTTTTTAAAAATGTCAAAATTACATTATTTTTTAAAGCTAGAAAGTGTAAAAACAGAAAAAAATAAGAATTGGATCTTCAACTTTCTGACGATTCTTGTACAAATAACGTGTGATGTGCCCTTCTGTTGGGAAATTTACCCAAAATGTATGCCTGAATTAATGATATTTCATTAAAAAAAAAATTAAAAAAAAACCCAGCAAACAACACACTATTCTATGTGTCATTACAAATAAATTGCTTGCTTTGAACAGAATCTTTAGAAAACAAAACATTCTGTACCACCCAGTGCAATCATGAAGCCATAAGCAACTCAGTTGCAACCAGCAGTAAAGTGACAAAAATTCAGGTCCTGTTTAGCTGAACTGGTTTGAACTGCAGAGTTCAAAGTATGGAAGTATAGCGAAAAAGTATGGAACAAATTAGAGATATAAGTAGTAAAATATCTATAGTATATTGTAGATATGTAGTAGAGTTAATTTTTTTCCCATTATTGGTAACACCTGTGGGCACTTGAAAAAATACCGTACATGTTAATTACAGTATTTTTTTATTTATTTATTTTTCAATTTTTGTATTCTACGTTAGTTTTCTAAATGACATTTTAACTGTGCCATACTGCACAAACGACCTAATGAGTTCTGTCTGCTTTCAGCCATGGTTGTGCTTTTTCCACAGAGGTGAAGGATTTTGGATCAGTGAAAAAAGTGACTTTTACTTGTGACAGGAGAACACCCAGAAAGTGCTTGGAGTTCAGAGGATGAAACAAGAAATATAAAGCAAGGAGGGGGTCTAACACATGAAGGAATAGAAAAAGCGGAGTCAAGTTCAGTGGTTTCTTCTCTCTCAGTGGAATATCACATTCATATCAAGGCTTTCTGACAAAAAGAGAAGCTGCATTCCAAGTAGCAATGCATTTATAAAAGTGTTTGAACTCACTGGTAATAAAGCACGAATAAAAGGTGCTGATAGCTGCCACAAGTTCCTTATAGCTGTGATATTGAGAACGACCTTTAACCTGCTCACCCACTTTGTTTTATGTGCGATGCGTGCTTTAATTGGCCACAATCAGAATCAAATATTTACACTGCCATAGTATACCCCTATATAGTCTGTCAGATGACGCCAGCAACGTAAATAGATGTAGTTCATAAAGGTTTCATGGCCTTCAGAATGTGCATTCAGCCTGCCTCTGCAGCGCTTTCTTTACCCGATTCCTTTTTCCATCTGAGTGCGGCGTATTCATGGCCTTGACACCTTTAGCTTGGGTTTGGTAACACATAAGGCTTTCATAATAGGTTGATTAGTTTATCAGCCATATGACAGGAAAATAATCAGCAACTTCTTGGATCATCAAATACATATTTTCACATTTTTTTCCCCAAGTAGAAATGCCAAACTTAACCGTGTTCCAGCTTTGAAATTGTGTGAATATACAGTTTTTTCTTTGACTTTAAAGATAGTGAGCTGAGTATGTGTAGCTTTTGAAGGTAGGAAGAAGCAGATAAAGCCAGAGTGAGATGGTTCTTTGTTTTGTATCCATCAAGACATCTTCTCATCATCATCAAACTACTCTGCACACCAGCTGTCTGCAATTTTTTTTTTTTTTCAATTCCACAGCAATTCCTTTTATGGGAAAAATGCCGAGCACGTACTCTGCTCTTTTGTGTCATGCAGCAGTAAAGAAAAATCTATAGAGAGCTGATGTGTGGTGAGATTGGATCCGCTGCAAAGAGTGATGTGTCCTGAACTCTGCAGAAGAAATCCCCAGTTGTGCAGGAGTGAACAGTCTTATTATAATCACGGCTTTATTGTAAAACATCTAAGCAGTGACTAAAAGGCTAAAGCAAGCATATATTCACTTCAAAGCAATTCACTCAGCATAGAATATCACTTTATCTGTTCTCAGGTCAAAGGCTACCGCTACCTGGAAGAGGACAACTCCGATGAGTCAGACTCGGAGTGGAGTGAGGAGGATGACGAAGAGGAGAAGGGGGAGGAGGATGAAGAGCATGTTGTGGAGGAGATGGGGGCAGAGGACTGGGAGGAAGGAGGCCATGACGCCGGGGCCTGGGGGGCTGACTCACCCAGAGCCAGGAGGAGGGGAGCCGAGGGCAACCGGCAACGTCGGGTGGGAAACCCTGTGAGGGAGGGCGAGAGGAAGGAGCAAGAGGAAGGCTGATGGAGGAGGAAGTAGGAAAGATGGTGGACAGCAGACGGGAGGGGAAGGCGGTTAGAGACGCACTGGATTCAGTCGCATTCAGGACTCCATTCATACCTTTACAGATAATGCAAATCTTACATGCTACACTAAACACAACAAACAAGGCATAAGCTTCAATTGGAAAACTATAATTGGATCCATAAAAAGGGTCCATTAACTGCAAATACTACAGCGCCGATATAAAGTATTCACCTCCTGTGGAAGTTTTCCCCTTTTATTGCTTTTTAAATACTGAATCATAGTCAATATGATTTGGGTTTATTTTTGACAGCAATTTACAAAAAAAAGTCTTTTATCTTCTGCTGACAATAGATTCGTACAAAGTAATGCAAATCAATTGAAAACATAAGATGTGTAAAATAAGTGATTGCGTAACCATTCAACAACCTCTAAAGTGACCTACGTAATTTAACACAGGTGCAGCTGACTGAAGTTAGAAGACATGCAATTAATGAACCAGAGATCATCTGAATGCAGGGCAGGTGTCTCAGATGACTGTAGTATAAACACACCTGTATCTGGAAGGTCACTGGTGAATCAGCACTCCTGGTTATATCTACGCCATGAAGACCAAATTTCGAAGTCACTGAGTATTCCCTAGAGTACAGTTAAATCCACCTTTAAGAAATGTGAAGAAAATGTGACGTGTAAATCTGCCTATTAAAGGTCGTCCTCAAAAACCGAGTGACCAAGCAAGAAAGAGACTCATGAGGGAGTCCACCAAGACCCCTATGACTCCCATGACGGACTTACAAACTGTACAGACTGTACAACAACTGCTGTCTGTTCAACAGTCAAAGCTGTATGGGAAAGCTCAAATTATTCCAAACTAGAGTTTGCCAGAACACATGTGGGGAGACTCTAAGTCACCTAGAAGAACGTTCTTTGGTCTGATGACACTGAAGTTGAGTTTTTGATTGCTGTGGTTGGTGGACAGCAAACATTGCACATTATCACTAACATCCCCATTTAGAAGCATTGAAGTGGCAGCATCATGATGTGGGGATGCTTATCAGCAGCAGGCCCTGGAATGCTTGTAAAGCTACAGGGTAAGGAAAAACCTGACAGTTTGGCAAAGAAGACTGTAGTAAAATTGTCCAGATGTTCAGAGTGACTGAGACCTGTCCACACAGGCTCAATGCTGTAATTACAGTCTAAGGTGCATCGACTAAATACTGACGTCAAGGTGAAGTGAATACTTATGCAATCACTTATTTTAAGTTTTATTTTTTAAATTTATTTACGTTACTTTGTCATTCAAAAAATAAAATAAAATAAAATAAACTCACAACAGGGGTATACACTTTTTTAGGAACTGTATTTTGCTATTTTACATTTAAACCTCATGTCTTGGATAAAACATGTCTACAGCTCAGACTACAACATCGTACTTGTATTTTACTTTTGCTGCACAGTTTGCAGCTTATATTTAATTTGCTGGAAGTGCTTCATAAGTAGAAACCATACTCTGAGCTGGTTTAATTTAAAACAAGCGTTTATCTACAAAAAAAATGTGAAAAAAAAGTAACAGGAACATTTTCGGACTTGATTTTCTCAATGGAACCACAAAGTGAAATGAGTGTGTGTGTTTAAGGTAATATTAGTTTTTTTTCAAAATGCCTTAATAATGCAATACATGTGTAGTTATGCAGCTCTGCAGATATTTGGTAGAAGCAGACGTTTTCAGAGAGTCTGTATGATCCAGCTGGATTTGGATTTTCTGTCTTTTTCGTTTTTTATTTTAATCCTTACCTTTTGTATGCACATTTGTCAGAGAAAACAAGCTAACTCAGCAAATTATCAGAAGCTAAAGTATCTCAAGGGCTGAGTAAAATGTGCCTTTTGCAGAAAATGAATGTATATTTTTATTCAATATGCAGAAGATGCAGAAGTTCAGTCGCATGTGACCGTTAGTAGTGAGGTATGCATTTCAGCAAACAGTGGCCTCAGGGGTATTATGGTTTGTAATATGAAGTCTCTCACAAATGTTTTTAATAAAATAATATTTAACTCAGCAATAATTAAGTCTAAAGCTGTGCAGTGGACCTTCTTAGGATCAATAATATCAGCTAGATGGAAACTTGATCATTCTAACTTAGCATTACTGTGCTAGCATTTGCTAACTACCAACACAAAGTCCATACAAGGTTGATGGGTAGCCATGAGCAAAAATGCTTTACAACAAAATTATTATAATTCACTTAGACGGGACCATTGATTTGTGAATGGTAAATTTCATGGCTATTCATTCAATAGTTATCGATATATTTCACTAAAAAACACAAATGCCCTCCTCACGGTGGTGCTAGTGGGAAGGTCAGAGGGTCACAGAAGTCAGAAATATCTCCATGCTGCTGGTACAGAAAAACAACATGTCACAGATTACGAGTTTTAAAACTGAACACCTGTCATTAAAAGATCTCAGAAGTATTAAAAGGTCTGACACGCTGTACAGTTTTTAGAGATTGGATTTTGTCATTATGCAAGAGCTGCTTTGTCTTTGCTCGAATGTCCTTTTGTGTTTGACATGTCAAAGCAGGAAAAGCACAGATTTGAATACTAACATTAATCAGCAGCTTCGGTTTCAGTGTCCCGGTTTTGCACTATGTGTTCTGGTTTGCTGTCATAACTCTCTGGGACACTTAAGTAAAGCATATTCATTATTGTTGTTATTATAGCGCATGTGCTTTTCCTTTCTATGACAGGTCAGAATTTCTGCTGTGAAAAAGAGCCTATTAATCGTGACAGGTTGGTAATTTTGAGATCCTACTTTAGAAAGGTCCCACTGGTGTGCCTGCTGGCTCACTCTCAGGCATCATTAATTCCACCTGAGCTTTCCTGGCAATATGTCTGCTGTATGAAATAACTATTGGGGATGTTGGTAGTTTCGATTCACTTTTCGGTTTTAGTTAAACCTAAACGGCACGATTTTCTTACTGTGTTCACATTACTGCACGTAGTTTTTACTTTATTTGCTGGCATGGTTTTTGTTTTGTTTTGTCGGTTTCTGAAGTTACGTCATGCTCACTTGAAGTTAAAAAAAAAAGGCATTTACTTGGCTTATTCAGGGCTGCAAGCTGTCACGCTTCCATACAGATGGTCATATATTTCATCTCTTTCCTGCGTTGTACATTAAGTTTGGATGCAGTTAATCCTTTATTCAGTTACAGTAACCAAAGTGTACATTTCTATTTAAACAAGCTGTAGAAGGAAGGAAAGCAATCCTGCTATATATTTAATTTAGCAGTTAACATGAAAATCAGAGGTGTTTCAGTGAATAAATCTCCTTTATGTTGCACCGATACCTTGTTCATTTATGTCATGTAACACTGCTGGTTGTGTTCACAGGAATAGATCTGTGCTTTTTTCTTAAATATGGCCACACTTTAAAGACGGAAGTTTAGCGCTGTTGATTGCGTTTCTCCTGACTGGTGGGCGGGGTGTTGTCAGAGTCACTACTTTACATTAAGTTAGCGGTAACAGCAGAACACCTATTGCCATGGAAACTTGAAGCCGACGCAAAGAATAGCAAGACTTGAATAATAATTTCATTACAGTTGCAGTGACACAGAACATAGGAGGAACATAGGAGGTTCTGAAGTGTTTGCATTAAGTGGATCTTGGACTAAAAGTGTTAAGTTTCAAAAAGGAATAAACACTCAAACATTGTGGTAAGATCTCTAAATGCTCCCTCTGTGCTGCAGTGTAGTTACACACATACAGTGCTGATGTTGTGCAGCAAATTCTATTAAAAAAAAAAAAATCTTACGTTTGGAATAATTGCCACCTATGTCGTTTCACACACGGAGAATTACGTAAATAATTATCAGCATTTATTGCTTAGTGACTTTTCTGTGTTCTGTTCTCTCAGTCTCTGTATTGAGGAACAAACATCCACCCGCTTCATTGATGGATTTACTGATCATTAATGTGGAAAAAAAAAGAACAACAGAAACATTGCTCACACAAGAATTACAGAAATCTCTTTTCATGTTCTAATAACTCTGAACTTTATTCCACTTGTACCAAAACAAAACACTCTTCGTAATAAAGTGAAGTATGATTATGTGCTGGTATAAAGAGGTAGCTGCTACATCACTGATGGTTTGTGTTGTAGTTTGCGGTCCTGGCCCTAAGCTCCAAACCCAACTGTGAGTTCAGGCGACCAGGAGTTAGCCTGATCCCAGGCTGTGCTGCTGCTGCTGCCGCCAGTCCTGATCGGGCAACTCTCAGTGCCTGATGCGTCTGATGGATTGGATCTTTGGCGTCTGGCAGTGGGAGCCCCAGTTCCTCCAGTGCTGGAAGTCTCCGCTGTGTCTTTCACACTCCATGATGTACTGCTGGCCTCTGTAGCCGGGATACTCATAGCACACGAAGCTGTCGAAACACAGAGGCAGCAGGGGGAGATTAGTTAAGTCACTATCAGCCTGAATGACAGGGACAATTAAATGATTTATTTACTGAGCAGGACATTTGTCAGAAAGTCTACTTGTCGTTGCTCTCTTGGTGATAAAGTATGTCATAGCAACAGCGGGTCAAAATGACTGCATGCATGTCTTTGGTGTTTCTGTGCAGCTCTGTCTTGTTGCTAATCACCCGACGTGTGCCAATACAATCTGTGACGAGCTTAAGCCAAGCGCTCTAATTTAAGGACTTGTTGTGCTGCAAAGTTTCCATAAATACCAGTTGTGTCATGGCAGATTCAGTGGAAACGAGTAAAACAGAAAACAGCTAGTTGTTCCTGAAGGCTGTGCAAATGTTAAGAACGTTAAGCAGCCGTGGTGACTTCAGGCTTGTCACAATATCAGATTTTTATTTATTTAAAAAAATATTTTTATTTTGGGCTTTTTGCCTTTTTATTTATAGTCGTAGAGATAGACAGGAAAGGGGGGAGAAGAATGGGGAGAGACCTGCAGCAAAGGGTCATGAGCAGGAGTCCAACCCACGACCACTGAAATTTAACAAAAAAATAATAATACTATTGGTCAAATTCAACTTTGTTTATTGTGTTCGTCCTCTTTTTTTTTTTTTTTTTTTTTTATTGTGTTCGTCCTCTTTTTTTTTTTTTTTATTAAATATACCCAAAATGCAAGTGTAATGAGATGGAGGAGGGACATTCCAAATATGATAGAAATATTTCATTTTTTAAGTATTACGGCTATTGTCAGTACCAGTATAACATACCAATAAGAGTGGTTGTTATGGTAACATGAGCCCAGTTAGAGCACTTAGAAGGTAAGCTGTAAGTTCAACCTCCTTGTTTAGCATGAACATTAATGCCTGCACCAAATGTAGGGTCCATCTATACATAAAATGTTGAGATATTTTGATCTGGACCAAAAGCAACATACATGGCCTCCCCCTCAATAACTGTGCTAACAGATAGAAATCATTGGATTATTTTTAGTTGCTCATATTGTTTCCCTTTTTCAGCAAATTAAACAAAGTGTGACATGCTCCCACAATGTTTCTTTTTCAGCTCAAAATACTGCAAAGATTGTTCATTTCATCGTGACTGTGTAGTCCCTGGTTTCAACCCTGTTCTAAACAGACTATTTCAGTATCTGTAGCTTTAGGTACAGCTGAGCTGTGGTTGTGAATGTGAGTGTGCTTGGTTGTCTGTCTCTAAGTGTGGCCCTGTGATAGACTGGTGGCCTGTCCAGGGTGTCCCCTGCCTTCGCACTAAGTCAACTGGGATAAGCTCCAGCCCCCCGCGACCCTAGTGAGGATTAAGCGGTGTATAGATAATGGATGGATGGATGGATGAGCTGCGGTTGGCCACACCCCCTTCAGGAAGAAAACTCTTTGATTGATTGACACTGACATGAATGTGTGTGAAGCTAGGACTTTCTATCACTTTCTAACTTTATACATACAATCGTTGTTCATTTGTTCACTCGGAAAGCTCTGCTATGTGCTAACACTAAGGATTTTGCTATTGTAGTGATGGCATTACCATCAATAATGAAAGTAATATGCTATTTCTTGTTCCTCAGATGCTGGAAGCGCATGAAGATTCTTGTGTTCACTTTTAAAGCCAACAGCAGAACAGTTGGTGGGTTTTGCTCGTTGCTGAAATATTTTACAGTGAACAAGAAGCAGCTCTAGAAAGTAAGTAAATAAACTTGGAGAACTGGATCACCTGGAAGCAGCAGTATTTAGGGGGCAGGACTATGCAAAGTTTGAGCTACCTGACTGTTGATTCCTCAGTTTCTACTTAGGAATTGAATAAAATTCTCCCTTGCTTGCAAAGCTGGGAGGCATTCTAGCCGTGTGAATCTACACTTTGAAGGTTTTAAGACATGCAAAACACAATTTAAATGGAGCGTCACCGTTCGTTACCTGTAGGGGAAAATAGCTATTTATGGATAAAAACAAAGACGTTGAGTTGTGATAATTAAAAAAAAAAGATCTATCTCTTTGAAGAGGCAAAATATTTTCTGGGAAGCCTTGAGAGTGACATTAAAAATGTGTTTCGAAGCGTGTTAATTAGTTGTTTTGTTTTGGCTCTTAAAATGTGAACTGATGCAACTTCTTTTACCGGATTGTGTTGAATGTTTTTTTTTTGGCTCTGTACATCTCCCCCTTTTTGTTTTTTTTATCGGTTTGAAGCTCTCTGAAACTTCTTCATGACAAAAGCTATCATTCAACTTGACCCGTCAGACGTTCGGATGACTTACGCGCCGCACTGCACATGCATGGAGCCCACCCGAGGCATGAACCAGCCCATGGCCTGCAGGGAGGGGTAGTCGTCGCACAGCTCGGCGTTGCGGCCGATGAAGTTCTCCTTCTCGAAGATCATCATACGGCTGCTTTGGTGAGACTGTGGAGTGGGTGGAACAGAGAGTTACTGTTAAAGTTAATGCCGGGTCTGTCAGACGGCCGACAGAGACGACATTTGGCACTGAGATGTCTCACTTCTATTTTCGAAAACGTGTCAGTCATTCTCACACTGTGTGGCTCACTCTTCTGACCATCTCCACCTTCTGTCACTTTGTCACTCACCATCCTTTCATTTTCACTGCCCTCGACTGCTCTTTCACTCCCACCTGTCTCATTTTTCTCCCCCCTACTCCCCTCTTCCCCTGTAGATACTCACGGCGCAGTAGATGGGGCGTAGAGACATGAAGCGCTCGGAGTGGTAGGACAGGGAGCCACTGAAGGCCTCCCAGTTGGCGTACTCGCCTCTCTCCAGGATGAACTGCTGGCCCTGGAAATCGTGATGCTCGTAACCGACCCAGCTGGAAGCATGAGGTGAAAATGTCAGATCAGTGAGTAGAAAATGGAAAGCAGTGGAAATAAGTTTGAACATAAAACAAACAGGTGACATCACACAACAGGAGAGGAGCATCTAAACATATCTTGAGCAGGACGTTCTATTTTGAATGGCTTTAAAATCATGAAGCTACAAAGAATTATCTCCTGATTTTGCAGCTCTGCGCAGTTTTGCAGAGCTTTATAGCAAGGTTTAGCTCACTGTTCAGTTGTTGGACCTGCAGCTGTCCTGTTGTGGTTTACTCACGCAGCTGTTTTATGCAAAAAAAATCTCTGAAAGCCCACTGCTAAGTAGCAGCATGTGGAAATAATGGGGCATTTAGCACCTAAAAAGCAGGACATGTAGTTAGGAGTTGGTAGAGACCAAAATAGGAACGAAAAGCAGAGTTAATATTGGGTTCATATGCAGCAGGTAGCCAGAAAATGACTCAAAATGTACTATAGTGTTGCTCCATAGCTGCTGGAGGCAACATCCTCTTTAGATTGTGATGATGCCTCAAATATATATATAAGTAACTGGTCCAACACGTCCTTCTGTAACACCTTAACATGGTGCTAGAAATCGACCCAGCTGGAAACATGAGGCGGAAATGTCAGATCGGTGAGTAAAACTGGACAGAAGTGGAAATTGGTTTGAACATAAAACCAACAGGTGACATCAGACGACTTGAGAGGAGCATTTAAAGTTAATTCGAGCAGCTACATTGAGTTTTTAGCATCCTGTTTTTATTTACACATATGATTTCCACACTAAAGATCTTCCAAACGAGAAGCCCGATTTCCAACATTTTTCTAAACTGTTCATCTTGGAAGGAGTGAAGTGCTACATCCGTGGATATCTCCTTAAAATTTTCAACCATGATTGATAGAACTGCTCACAATCCACTTCAACACCTGCTTTCCTGAATGCTTTTCAGGAACTGAAGCAACAGCCAGTGTTTCTGCATATTTTTTCTCTGAAATAAGATTTGTACACTCAGACCACCTGGCACTAGGTTAATCCTTCAATTTTTAGTAAGACAGCATGTTTTTACCAGTTTGCACAGAGAATAAGAGGTGAAGTATACATAGCTGAAAGGAAACCTGAAATCTTGTCTTATGCTGTCTGCCATTAATCGAAAAAGCTAGAGGTCATTGTTGCACTGTCCGTGAAATCAAGTGCTCCATCACTTTTTGGCCTGATAAAATGGAGCTAAATGTGCATCATGTCTTTAGAGAATCACTACTCTGACTTTGGCAAGCTTTGCACGCTGTGACTAAGACCTGGGCTGTTACGTAAAAAGTCGCTCATGGTGGAGGTGCGTCAAGACACACTGACGATGGCACAAGTTTTCTCTTACACTCAGAGTTAATAATAAATGCCATGCATAATTATCTCTTGAGTGTCGTCCACAGCTCCTAAATTATGTCACAGAGCTCAGGAGATTTTCCCAGCCCTGTGAGGAATCACCAGCCAACGGCTCTTTTACGTATACAGGACAAATGAAGAGACTGTGCACTTTGTAATTTGAAGCCCAGGTGGGCTCAGGAGGTTCTTTTATCAAATCTCAGTTGTGGGTGCTCTGAACACTTGTTGGAGAACTTTCACTTTCATGGAACAGGTGACAAAAACTAAAATGGAAACAGCAAGAACTAGAAAAAGCAACAACTAAATAGAGCTGCACATTTAAAAATAAATCATTTTTGTGTGTTATGTAGTTACGGTGACTGACTGCTGCATCCTGCCTTGTATAGTTTGACTATTTCTGTAACTTTGTGGCTCATTTAAAAGGCCTTAAAGACACATTTTCTAAATCACCTTCTTATTATGAGTCGTGGGGTCTCACATGAACACAAAATAAACAAGTCTGGTCAAACGTTTCCATGCAACAATCAGAAATTAGCAATGTTGGAGACACTGGTAGTCAGGTCAGATTAAACCACATCCATATAGTCCAGATGAACTAGATTAGTCTCACAAGTTTTTTTTTTAGGAATGATGCTTTTTAAAAGTTAAAACCCAGTGCTGTGAGAAGTAGTTATAAAATGACGATAATTACTATTTTTATAATAACAACAAAGCATCATGACAAAAACAATGTAATACTGCAAAAGGAATTTCTTTGAATTGTGATACTATAGAGAATTACGACTTGAATTTGATGTTCTGTGTAGTTTTACAGAGCTTTACAGCAAGTTTTAACCCACTGTTTAGCTGTTGTACCTGCAAATGCATGTTGTGATTTACTCTCAGCCACAACAGACAGCTGTTTTTGGGGAAAAAAAGCCCTAAAAGCAACTATTTTGTAAAGAAAATTTGTCATTTAGAAGCCTAAAAGCAGCTATTTCTCTCAGGAATTGGTAGAGACCAAAAACAGAGATAAAAAGAGAGTTATTGGCCAGAAAAAACAACTTAAAATGTACCACTGGAGGCAAATCTTCACAATATCATGATGATGCTGTGTTTACAATGTCTTTACTCTGACCCTAATAAATATATATAACTGGTCCAACATGTCCCTCTGTAACACCTTAATTTGAAATCTAACAACTCTGTGCAGTTTTATTGAGTTTTACAGTAAATTTTAGCTCATTTTAAAATGCCAGACCCACAAGTGGACTGTTGTGGTTTACGCTCAGACAAAGCAGGAAGCTGCTGTCAGCAAAAAAAAAGGCTCTAAAAGCAATAATCTGGTGGAAATAATGGGACACTTATAAGTTATAAATCATGAATTTTCTCTTAAATGGTGGTGGAGACCAAAAACAGAGCTAAAAGAAGAATTAATGGCCAGAAAAGCTGCTGAAAATGGACAATAATGTTTCACCATAGCTGTTGGATCCTCTCTCTCTGTGTATATATATATATATATACTGGTTCAATATGTCCCTTTGTAACAATAACCATTGGAGACATTTAGTGGATTAAAAAAATACAATATATTCATCTGAAATGATGTGAAGCGGAAGTTTAGAATTCACAAAAACAAACATTCTGGTAAAGTACACTTAGCTCTGGTTAGTTTCCACCACTGATTATATTTCAGGAAACTAGAATATTATTGGTTATCAAGAAAAAGCTCATCTGTGAGCTGCACTCCGGGCTGAACCTAATTAGTTTCCAGTCCAAAAACTGTCTCCTAGAAAGATACAATAAAGGCATTGATAGCATAATAATAGATAAAGGTTTAAAATTGTGTGGTATTGTCTAAATTGATAGTTCTAAAGTTTTTTGTGCTCTTTTCATCAGAGGGACCCTGACATTTCCCTTTACATACAGTGACTCAGAAAGGAAAGTGGAACACCATTTTATCAAAGGGATAAAAACACTCATGTGGCCTTTAATTATCAGTTGCTTTCTGCTGGTGAGGTATGTGTGTTGGCTATGAATAACCTCCACAAAGTGACAATGCTGCAATTTAAATAGCTTCAAAATGATGAAACTAGAGGGAATAATCCACTGAATTTGTAGCTTTGCAGTTTTACAGAGCTTTCTACCAAGTTTTAGCTCACTGTTCAGCTGTTGGACCTGCAGGTGTAATGATGTGATTTACACTCAGTCACAGCAGGCAGCTGTTTTATGCAAAGAAAGAAAGCCCTGAAAGCTAACTGAATCTAGTGGGGATAATGGAATATGTAACACCTAAAAAGCAGGATATTCCAATTAGAACTTGGTGGAGACCAAAATAGGAACTAAAAGCAGAGTTAATATTGGGTTTATATGCAGCAGGTGGCCAGAAAATGACTCAGAATGTACTATAGAGTTGCTCCAGAGCTGCTGGAGGCAACATCTTCATCAGATTGTGAAACCTCTGATATATAACTGGTCCAACATGTCCCTCTGTAACACCTTAATGTGAAAAAAAATCTATATAAATATTATTTTTTTCATCAGAAATTAAGTGAACAAAAGGTTTAAAATTCACAAAAACAAAAAAAACTCTGATAAAGTACACCCTGCTTGGCCTATTCTCAACTCCCGATTATAATACAGGAAACTACAATATTTAATGTTGTCAAGAAAAAAACAAACATTTAAGCTAAAAAGTTACAAATTTGCGGTGAAAAAACAGTCTAATTAAAAGTAGATAATATAGAATAATAATTCACGTTATAGTAGGTACAGGTTTAAAACTGTTTGTTATAGTCCCAATAGATTTTATATAAAATTTCAATTTCACTTTTCATCAGAGGCATGTCGACATTTGCCCTGACGTGTCCATCTGTACCACCTCAATGTGGAAAATAAACTATAAATATTTATATTCATCTGAAATGAAGTGAAGCAGAAGCTTAAAATTCTCAACAACAGAAACTATTCTGATCAAGCACACTCTGCTCAGTTTACTCTCCACCACTACATAACATTTCTTGTTATAGTAGCTACAGATTTAAACTTGGTTGTTATAGTCCCTATTTAAATTTCAGTGTGCTTTTAATCAGAAGGACCTCGACATTTCTCTTCACATGCGGTAAGTGAGAAAGAGAAATGGAACAATAATTTATCAAAGGGATAAAAACACTTGTGTGGCCTTTAATTATCAGCTGACTGCTGGTGAGGTATGTATGCTAACTATAAATAACCTCAACAGAGTGAAAATCCTGCCTTTAAATGGCTTTTAAAGACCCTGTTAGCTCCTCAGACGACGGCCAAAAAACTCTCCGTCACCCCTCACGACTGTTCCTGCTGACTGGACCCTACATGTGGGCTGCAGTGGCCTCGGCTGTGACATGCTGGACACTAGTTTCCTCACAGACGCACTTACATAAACACGCACACACACAGTGTCAGTCAGCTGTCCACAGAGACTCGCAGGCGTACAGGCTGTGTGACTCACGCTCCACTCTCCACTCGGATGGAGCGGATGTTGTCCATGCCACAGTTGTGGATGTTGCAGCACTCGGAGGTGAACTCCAGACACTTGCCCTGGAAGTGCTCCTGCTCAAACACAGTCACCTGCACACAGAGAGGAGATGCGTGAAGCTGAGCGTGTCTACGGGCTGCTTTTTTTTTTTTTTTTTTAATACTAGTAGCTGACGACAGTGAAAGTGTGTGAATTCACCTTGAAGAAGGGGGCTGTGCCCATGCCGTGGAGGGGCATGGGAAAGGTCATGTGGGTTTTACTGACTCTGTACATTTCTAGAGTAGAGAAGGAAAGAAAAAAAAACATAGATCATGGATGAGAAAACAGGTAGAAACAACAAATTGTAACAGGTGAGACCATTTTAAAACAACAAACTCATTTATTTCATCAAAACAAGTGTCCATTTGAAGTTTTTCTCTTAAAAAAAAAAAGAGGAATTTGACTCTGAGCAGGACACACAGCCTGAATCTAAGCTAAAAACACCACTACAATAAATATAATAATTACATTACACGTTTTTAATCCGACAAATCCTTCCCGTGGGAAAGTTCTGGATCAGGAATTTTCCGGGTCACCTTACCTGGATGCTCTGCTCGCGCTCCTCACGCACCAAATCCTCTTTACGCAGACTTTTGTCTCCACCTGCAGCTTCGGTTTTATACCGGCGTCCACGCGGGACGCTCGTGCTCGCGCGCGTGCTCGTGCTGCCCCGACTCTTTCTAAATGATGTGAACGAATAGAGTTAGTTGAAGTGTGTGAAGCAGGAATCATGAGTGAGACTTCCGGGTGCGCCTTCAAAATTAAACTCTCCTGACTAGACCCACCCCTGTACACCTTAAATCCAATAATAATGAAGCTTGAAAATCTAATGTAACATTACGTGTGTTTTTTTTTTGGTTTGTTTGTTTTTTTTTTATGTGTGTTTTTAGCTTGTCAAAATTAATTAACAGCTTAATGATGAAGAGTTTGCCCCACTAAAGCTTATACAGATAAGCGACAATGCCATGTCATCAGTATTCATTTACCAAATAAGTTTTTCTTCTATTCTGTTCACTGCTGTTCACAGAAACTTTCATTATATTGGACTAATTACGTCATTTGTATAACAAAAGTGCCAAACGTGCCAAACTTGTTCTGGGCTCTAAAATGTTAAGGTTTGATTCTTTTCATTGATTTATGTGATTATATTATGTTATAGTAGACAAACAAAAGCATCACACATAAAACAGTGAAGAATCACATTTATTTCATGTGAATCATAATTTACTTACAGCTTACTGTGTTAAGAAAAAGCTCAGTGGAACTTTAATACTTGTAAGCTTGACTGTGTTTCTATGAGATGAAAAAAAAAACCCAAAAACATATTATCACCTTACACCTCCAGAATACAAAACTACTGACTAATGGATGTTTTCAGTCATGTGTGCCATTCCGAAGACAAAACACAAACAAACTGTTAATTGATACAGTAATTAAATGCCTACAATAATTTAATGCTTAACATACTCCCCCCCCTCCCAAATTGCCTTTATTATGGTTTTATTTTGAGGGTACACGGAGCAGGTTTTCCGGTATTACACTGGGTAACGCTCACCAACTTTACGCAGGTGAGATCCTGACACTCCTGTTTTGTGCGTATTTGTGCGTAAAGTGCGTAAAAAAAAGCGGTTTGTGCGCGCACACCGGCGGCCCAGCTGCTCGCTGCTCCCTCTCCATCTCCACCTTTCTCTCCCTCCATCTCTTTCTCTCTCCCTCTCTTTCTCTTTCCATCTGCCTCTCTCTTTGTAACCCTATGCGGCCTGTCGACTCAGCAGATCATATACAGCGCAGCCACAGAGGTGCGTGTGCGATGAATGCGGGCCTGTTTGTGGTCTATTCGTATAGGTCAGCAGTGCCATCGTATAGAGCAACAATGGCCGGGGCTATAGGCAGAGAATGAGGAGGATTTGGAGAGCCATCCGGGGAGCCTGCTTCAATGGTAGCTTCCAACAGTGGAGGAAATTGGGACAGAGGAATTCAATTAATGGCGATAATTGTTCATTAATTAATGGTAACCTCAATCTCGTAGTGAAGGAGAAAATCTGTGCAAAAAAAATCCAAACAAAACCATCACAAAGGGAGGAACAACTTTGTGACTGCCAGTGTATAATCCACATATGTGGAATATTTTTACCCCCCAGTCAATTACTTCAGACACAGGGCCAGGGTTACCATGACAACATCCCCCCTGAATCTTCAGATCCTTTGGTCCTTGACATTTATTCCAGAGAGCACAAAGGCTGCCACCAAGTTCTCCTGAACATGTTCAAACAAACACACACATGTAAGACAGCGGTTACTTCAAAGATCACCAAGTCACGACTGCCATTACTTTCCAGGCAGTCACAGCTCCATCACCACCACTAAATCAGACCCTGTTTACAGTACATGCAGATGGAATGCAAATACAACGAACTGGTCGAAGCATAAGGACAGACAGTGTTGAGTTCTGCAGGCATTTTTGAAACTTTGAGCGAAAGAAATGCTCCTGATTTGACATGATTCAGTTCTGCCATGAAGAATTTAAAGTGTTATGTTGCACGTGTGAGTTTTACAGATGGTTCGATGTAAACAGGATGGACTAAAGAAAGGATGAAATGGAAGGCTTCACACATCTGCTTGACAAAATGGATAAGTGTAAACATACGATTACAAAGAAGCCTCTATGTGAAAGGTTGAACATAAAATGCGACTGATCTGCTATTTACTCTTGACTTTCTTTGTGGAGAAAAATCAATCAAACCAACCATCCGTACTTCACATCAGCCAGGTATTGATCAGTGGGCTTTGTGAGGATGATGTTTTATTGGAGTACATGGAAAATGTCACTGACTTTGTTTGGCTTCATTTTGCCATTTGCCACCAGATCAGCTGCAATACGTTATTACTCCAACAAAGCAAGTACAGGCAGGTGGACTTTATATGGAGTACACGACAGAAAAGAGTGTGCCAAATCACTTAAGTGTCAAATGATTCAGTATTGCACCACCTTACAGTAACCGCATCACTTCTAAGTTGAACAGTTCAATTTTTTCTCTATTGTCAAAAACAAACAATCCAACAAAAAACAATTTAGACTTACAATATTAAAAATACAGGCTCCACACTAAAAAGTCAAGGCCATAAACGTCTGTACAGCTTACTGAGATTCAAATCTTTTATTTTGTTAAAGACTTTATGTACATCTTTAATTGTGTAGGACAAACTCAACCCTCCTTGACCTGGAAGATACCAGAGATGTACAAATTTTTAGAGTTTTTTGTCTCCAGAGACTCTTGTGTGAATTTGTGCTGTGGATGGTTATCATGCTGGAATATTCCTTCTCTGCAGGAATCTTCTATGTTGGCCAGTATTTAGATGGATCCACAGACATAAAAGGTGGTGTCTATAAATGTCATCTCCCCGACATCTTTTGCACTAATGCAGCCCCACATTAGCGCACTCCCACCTCTGTGCTTCACTATTGGGACTATGCAATCACTGTGGTAGTCCTGGCCAGGTTCACACCAAACATGCTGGACCCCATCTGAGCTAATAAATATATCTTGGTGTCATCTAACCAAAGCATCTGCTCCCAATGTTCATCAGACTTATTAGCATTTTCTGGAGGACAATTATTTTTTGCCATTCTATGCTGAAAAGCAAGCATGGCTTTTGGTCTTAGACACTGTCCATAGATGTTGATGTTTTATACTATCTTTTATGCTATCTGAGCTCTCACACTAGCTCTCACTCCCACTGTTAATGCCTGTGCCAAGTCTGATGCACCGTCCATCTGTTTTTCAGAGGTAGGTTGTGAAAGTGGTGCACTGTGCGTGGCATCATTTTAGTAGGACGACCGCTGCAGCTCTGATTAGTGGTACTATGGCTCATTCTCCTGATTGCTGCTGCAACTGTGATTCGACTGATTTTGAGTTGGTCAATGATCTTCTTGTAGGTTTTTCCATCTTTTTAAAGTCTGACAATCAAATTCTTGTTGCAGTTATTTTCTATGTGGAGCCATGTTGCAGACATGCAGATAGAAACAGCCCACAGGTCCCAAAGTGAGAAAGTTCTGGTGTTAGTGGGTAATTTTATAACCATGTTCATGCACTTTGTTTCTACTTGTCGGCTGGTATTAAGTGTTAAGTTTGTCTGTGTTTAGAATAGGGACACTCTACTTGTCAACAGTTATGAAGAGGTGATACAATTATGTATTATGCATCTGGGTACATTTCAGAACCGGTCTGCCTCTGCTTTAACCTCAGGACTCTGAGACCCTTTGAAAACCTGCTTTTTAAAGCTTCACAATTGAGGCCAGTGGGTCATGACTCTGCAGTGGCAGCTCCAAGGCTTTGGAATGGACTCCACCTTTCAGTCAAAAGTTTCTCCACTGGCACTTTAAAGACAAATCTAAATATGTACACATTTTAAATGGTTGTTGGTTGCTCTTAGTGGTCTTAATACTTTGGTAATTTATATCTATTTTGCTTTAGAAATGGATCTTAGGATGTGTTATCCTGTGTTCTGTGTCTCCTGGTCCTATCTGGTCTTGCATTTTTAAAATATTTTGTATCTTTTTTTGTGTAGTATTTTGCATATATATCATTTTACAAATCAATCTTCCAAGTTTTTATCCTGTTTTCTGTCTAATGCTGTGTACAGCACTTTTGTCAACTCTGGTTGCTTTAAAACATGTCACAGAAATAGCACTGATTTGATTTCATTAGATACATGACAGATACAGACTTTTAAACAGAGACGGCTTCTTTTAAAAACACTGATTCCCTGCAAAGACACTATCTTTAGTATCTTAAAAGCATATATTATGTTATGTAAATTTCTCCTCTTTTCTACTGAGCAGCATCTGGAAAGACTTGGAACAATTTAGAAAGCCACAAAAGTGAACTGTTTTGTATCACCTGTGTCTACTTCCATTCTATATTGTATCATATAAAGTACTTTTCTACTATTTTGGACCAGCGAAAACATTTATCTCAAGAGATTCATTGGTGGAACAAATGTTAAATAAAATGAAATCAAAGAATTAATAAAGCAAATAAATATGAATGAAACTGAATATAGGTTGAAACCTAGGGTCTCTACTATCTGTGCTGTAAGTTGTGACAGAAGAAAGTCCCTCAAGAAGAAGCTTTTCAATAGCTTGAAGGTCCTCACGGATGCTTGACTGGATGCAGTCACTTGCGAGTGGAGGACCTCAGTCTGTCCTCTGGTCACGGTTTGGGAATAAACATTAGGGAGAGTAGGCAACAAGAATAAGAGATGTGGCCTCAAGGAGCTCGCCTTCTCTCACCACTGCCTGATTCCACCGTTTTTCTTCATTAAAGTGACTCTCAGCAGTGACTGAGGACGTCCGACAGCCATTAAAAGTGAAGCGTACGACTCCTTCCCTCAACCCTTCCTCCATTGACCTTCTGCTGATGCTCACTAGAGCTTCAGGAAATACAAATCGCACAATTAACGAGGCCGACCATTGAATCTGAGACAAGAATAGCTTTGGAGCTCAGGTGCTGCTCCTATTTCCCTCCTGTCCTCATCCGGAGCCTTGATGTCACAAACACATGACCTCGCCTGAGCTACATCGGTTTGCTCGCTCCCTCACGTCCACTTTGGATCTCGTAGACTTTCCTTTTGCGGCTGCAATGTTTTACTCACCCACGCAAGAATTTAGAAAAAAAAAAGAGAAGGTTGAGGGCTTTAATTTAATAGCTTTCTCCTCCTGTGATGAAGAGAGAGATTCAGATTATTGTCCACACACACTCTGAAGCTCTTTGTTCACCCAGAGGTGCAAGTAGAGCAAGGTTATTGCTTCTTACAGCTTATTGCTTTCCCTGTTATTGTTTGTCCCAGCACCTCTCTACTACGACACCAAAGGGAACGCGAGTGAATAATTGTGTGACAGGTTTCTTAAATGTGAACCTGGTCAGTCTGGCTGCTGCTGTGTAGTTAACACCTCATTTTTGATTTCACTCTCCTGGTTGATTAATTCATCTTATACACACTGATGTTGGGTTTGTCATATTTTCTTCCACATATTCTTCTCTTCTTTCAGCCACATCCTCTGTCTCTCTTTCTCTCTCTCTCTCTCTCTTTGATGATGGGGGTATTTCTATTCTGTGGGGGCTGTGAGCTCAGCGAGTTTGTTTCTGTGACTATAATCCCTCTCTCTGGGCGCCAGCATATAAAAGCCACGAGGGGCCCGGCGCACTCTCACACAGACCACCAGTCTCAGCCCCGAGTCTACTCCTTTTACGCACACACTGCCACAGGTAAGACAGTGGACAAACATCATACAGAAAAGAAACGAAAACAGGGAGGTAGAAGGCAAGAATAACCTAATGTACCGCCTAAAAATGAGGACAATCTTGGACGTTGGTAATAGCTAAAGTCAAACGGTGCTGGTAAAGTCTGAATTTCCTTTGTACAAATCCAATAGCTGCCAATAAATGCACTGCAGCTTGTTCAGAATAACTGTTCTTTAATTAACATTAAGAATACGATTTTATTCCGAGCACAAATTCTGCTAAAACGAATGTTTAAATTTGGATTTTTTTTTTTGTGGAATCTAAAAATCCAGCAAATTTCAAGCTCAAAATGTTAAAAGTTTAAGACTACCAATGTGTTTAATAATGTGTTTACATGTATGCCAGTGCGTATTAAAAGCTACCGTAGCCTGTAGCTATGGTTCACTTTCATGTTGGACAGAGGACTTCTATGTTGTTTTTGGGATTTTTTTGCACATTTTTCATTGAAAGTTTGATGTTTTTTAGAAATGTGTGTGTAAAACAAATGTGGTGAAAGCTGAACTGAATGCAGATTTGTTAGAGGTTTATTTCTTTTTGTTGAAGTGAGGTTAGTCAAGGATCTGTAGTGGTTAAGCTTTGTCTCTAGAGAGGATTTGTCACTAATTTTAAGCAGAAAACAGAACTACGGTGAAGTAAAAAGGTTTAAAATTATATTCATGTGTCATAAAGTGGCAGCTATTGGATCATAAATAAAGAATAGCTGGAATATATAATATATTTAATATATGTTTGCCATTGTTTTAGCTAATTTAAAATTTTTGGAAACTCCTCATGCAACTGCTGTTGCTAACTTAACAAGTTCTTTAATAGATTTGATCATGAAGTTAATGTTTGAACACCAAATCCCTCTTGTGAAATGATTTGAAATGCTATAATATCTTTGAGCTACTGTGAAGAGGGTGTTGTAGTTTTCTCTTTTAGTCAAGGAAGGAGAATATTAGCATCACGGGAAAAGGCCTTGACACTATACTGTTTTATATTTTTTTGTACAGGCACTTAGTGAGCCTCTTAACAGCCACTAAGCTAGTTTTATCCACAAGCACTTCTTCAGAAACTACCTTTCAAATGAAGTCTCATAAGTGCATTTCAGCCTTGTAGTTCCTGTTGTAATCTTTTCTATTTGGGTGAGACCCAGTTACAAAAAAAAATCCCATTAAGAAGGATTGATGGTAACAGCTTCTCCTCTCCTCATCCCAGTCATCATGTCTGCTGGAGGAGAGAAATCCAAGACTGCTTCCCAGACTGATGGGAAGGCAGCTCAGAACAAGATGTCTGAGATGGGCATGATGTCCTACAAGGTACGGTCCTCGTACACACACAAACAGCAGCTGTTCAGACAAGTGCTATATATCGTACAGTCGTCTTGTTGTGAAGCAGCCGGCCGCACACTGCTGCAACAGTTTACCTTCTGAGTTCATGTTATAGCTCAGTGAGGGGGTGTTCGACAGCTACGACTGACAGGAAAATCTGAGGCCTCTGTGCGGTAACTCACAGAGGAGATAGCTGTCATAACAACATTTCATATTACTCTTACATGTCTGGACAGTTTCTCCCATGTCACACTGCTTCTGTGCTATTTCTGCCCTCCTCGGCTGTTGCCTTTGGCTTTGAAACCGCCCTCAGGGACTTTTCTAACGGCATATCTCTTTGCTTTAACCCAAAATTCTCCTCCAGATGTGTGTGTTCGATCAGGAGAACTTCCAGGGTCGCATGATCGAGATCACCAACGAGTGCATGAACGTGTGCGACATGGGGATGGACAAGGTGCGCTCCCTGCGTGTCGACTGTGGGCCGTAAGTAGCCAAAATTACACGCTGCGACACCAACACGCCCACGTTTTGCGTATTGCACCTACCACCCATGCTGCTCCGAAGCAAAGAGCATCCCATTTCACAGGTGTAACTCCCCATTATGCGACATTTCCCACTTTGCATTTTAGGCATTTCGATGATGCTTTTATCCCGAGTCATTTGCAGAGAGTGCACCTGCGGAGTGGAATTCACTTCTGAAACAGCCCAAAACACACAGCAGCAGTGACTGGGATGAGGGTTGTGCAGCAACTTTCCTCTGATTCTGTAACGTGTCATGTAAAGTAATTAAAGTGACACATTCCCACCACTGAATTAAATGTATATTTGCAAGATAAAAAAATCTAATATACTGGTTTAGATTAACTATTTAGGTTGCAAACATTATTCTTTATAGAGTTGTGCTGACATAATAATGCCGGTAATTGCATCAACTTAACATTTTGTGTTACTCAAATGTCTGCTTGATAAAATCGGCTTCATAACATCATTATTTTTTTCCACCTTGAGTTTAGGATTTCAAGCATGTTTGGACAATTTCAAATGGTTTAAACTAGTCATTAAAAACACTTTAGGACTTAAAATTAAATTCAGATTGAGCTAACTTAATGAAATTGGCTTGATAACAAACGTTTCTTTTTTGAGTGAAAGATCCTGTAGAAATAAATACTGTATCAATAAAATAACATAAAAGGTATTTAGTAAGTAGTAAAGGTGAACATGTAGTCATTTGGTATTGTGCTTCCATAAAAATGGAAAAGTCACAAGAGAAAATTACACATAGAAAGGTCAAAATCAAAGCAGCAGCTGAGGCCAAAAGAGTTTTGACCTTTACCCTCCAAAAAATGATCACTTCCCACCAAACACACCACACAACGATCTTCACAGCATTCTTCATGATAAATTCAGGAGCGCTCCTTTAAATAGAAATTCACCTTCCTCTCTTCTCTTTGTCACAACTTTTTTGCCCTCTAAGTTTCGTGGGCTTCGAGCAGATGAACTTCTGTGGTGAGATGTTCATCCTGGAGAAGGGCGAGTATCCCCGTTGGGACTCCTGGAGCAACTGTCAGAAGAACGACTACCTGCTGTCCTTCAGGCCTGTGCGCATGGTGAGCCTTAGCTTCTGTCCAATCGGCTGAAAATGTTCTCTTCCTGGTTCCTACACTCCTGCCAGAAGCTTGCTCTCCAACGTCTCCTCTTTGTCCTCACTCTTTTTTTTTCCTTCCGTCTTGCAGGACCCTGAGAAGCACAAGATCTGCCTGTTTGAGGTCGGAGAGTTCAAGGGACGCAAGATGGAGATCATGGACGACGACGTTCCCAGCCTGTTTTCTTATGGATTCACCGACAGGGTGGGCAGCATCATGGTCAGCTGTGGAACGTGAGTATTGGAGCATCTTTAGAAAAAAGAAAAAACATTCTTGCTAAGAGTAGGATGAGGAAATCAATACCTGACAAATTATACTCTGACATCTTTATCCTAAACTGGAGGCTACAGCACCGTCTTTCCAGGCATGTTTTGCACTACACTGCACTGCAGCTATCTTGGTAAAGCATTATTTTGGCTTCACAAGATCAGGCTCCTTTCTGAATGAATGGATTTGGAAAGAATTTTTTTTTTTTCTTATTCCTGGGCGTAAAAACTACACGTTTCGAACAGTAAAATAGTAAAGTATGAAAAATGAATATTTTTGGACAGCTTTACTGATTACTGATTTCCCAGTTTTGTTAAATTACAGATAACAAGTAAAATCACACAACAAAAGCATTAATTTACACGTTAACCCTAAAAAATGGTCAAAACTGTAAATTATGTCCATATCAAAAATCTGTATTTTAACAAATAGTAATTTGTTCTTTTACAATATCTGAGTGTAAAATTACACTCTTTTATACTGTATTTAAATCAGCAAAAAAAAAAAAATCCTGGATTAATTTGTTATCTGAAAGAAGAATTATGTATGTTAATGATTGAAAAACTGTTATTTTACAGAATTTCCCTGTTTTTGGTAAATTACAGATACTATCTAGTAAAATCACCAATATTATTCATTATTGTTAAAACCCAAACTGTACAGAATTATGTATCAAAAATCAATGTTTTTACAAATAGTAATCAGGTCTTTTATATTCTAATTTTTTTTTTTAAAATAGTAATTTCCTGAGGTTCTTTCCGTGTTTCCAACCTTTGGTGCTGGTTGTAGCATCACATTTAGTGAATAAGCATAGGAGTGATATCAGTTTTACAATCTAAAGCAAATAAGCACAAAACTCTGCCTCTGTTTTCTAAGTCTGACTGTGAAGCTGTATCTCGGCTTCCTCAAATCCTTTGCAGCTGCCAGTCGGAAATCATACAATTTTCACCAGTTCCAACCATAAACTTCTCCTCTCTGCTCAAACTCGGTGTAGTGCTGTATGTGTCTGAGAGTTTCCGCAGCCATGACGTCATCCTCTAACTGGCAGAAACAGCAGCATAATCACCAACTGTCTGCTGCTCTAAGTGTTTGTTTGGGAGCGAGTTCAGGAATAGAGGCTTTCTCATCAGCCGCGAGCCGAGGGTGTCATGAACGTCAGCAGCTCAGCGCCGCTGTCTGTGTGCTTTACTTTATTTGCAGCCTGATACGAGCAGCTGGGAGGCAGAATACCCTGCGGCTTTGTTTCTGACAACATGACAAACAGATCGATGTCTTTATTTGTTAGATATGTTTCCTCCCCGGTTTGTCTGCATCTGTCTTTCAAGCATCCTTCTTCCACACACTTGCCTGTTGCTCATCCTTCAACCTTGTGTTTCGCCTCTCTTGAATCAATTTTATATCACTGCAACCTTGTACTCGTGTTCACTCCCTCCCCCTTTCTCTATTTCAATCCCCAGTTGGGTGGGTTACCAGTTCCCCGGCTACCGTGGCAGCCAGTTCCTGCTGGAGAAGGGCGAGTTCAGGCATTTCAATGAGTTCGGCGCCCGCTGCCCCCAGATGCAGTCCATCAGGCGCATCCGCGACATGCAGTGGCACCCACACGGCTGCTACACCATGAGCTCCAAGTGAAGCCCGGCGAGGGCGAGGAAGAGAGGGACCGGAGGAGAGGCGGAGGCCGAGGGCGGACGAAGAGATGGAGGAGGGAGGGCGAGGAAGGAGAGGAAGAGGGTTTAATATCCCCTCCTCTGTCCCAAAACCTCTTGGTGGCTTGAGTGCAGGATGGAGGGAGTACAGAAGGTTATTTATAGAGTAGTGGCCAATGAAAAGTTATGCAAAGTTTGAGGAGGATAATAACCTCCGAGACCGCACCTGATAATAAACGCTCTCTCCATTTTTGTTCTTCCTCTCTCAACGTCTCCGTTCGTCAGCTCCCGGCGCTTGCTCTCCTCTCTCTCCTCCCCTCCCTCCCTGTCTCCCCCTCACATGCTTCTCCTCCACATCTCGCCAACGTCAGCCCTCACTCAACCCATCAGAGCCTGACTGAAGGGGGGGAGGAAGAGGGCGTACCGGTGTGGATTTTTTGTTTTGTTTGTGTGACGAGGGAACTGAGACAGAGAGAAAAAAACCGCAACAAGACAAACAGTGGTTGATTCTTTGTGCTCAGATCCTGCAGCCTCATCAACCCTAAACCCCAATAAAAGCATCTCACATCCTGCTTCGCTTGAAACAACACTTTCTTTGACAGATGTGGCTTTGATATACAAATGCACGGAGAGATAATGGGCCCAGGAAACACACAAAAAGTCTCATTTCCTGGCTATCAAAACAGACAACCTTTTGCATCACAAGTGGTTATTTTCTGTCTTGCCCTGTGGTATTTAGTGAAAACAACTCCTCAACCTAGAGCTGCTAGAATCAGTATGTTGTAACTAAAAAATAATGATGCTGCACTTCACCTGAGCTCTACAGAGTTTTAAAGGACATTTAATTCTGTCTTCTTTCAAAGTGTTTCTGTGCATGTGAAAGATCTGCAAACTAACTAGTCCTTGATTCTCACTGAAAACACTGCTTCTCTTCTGCATGAAACACTTTGTTTGAAGTCTAGGCTCTGCTTCCCTTACTTATCTATGTCACCATGTAGCACATTTGCACAACGCCAGCCTGGTGGTGAGTTTAGCCCTGAAAGAATGAACAGCTGCCTTTCAGTTAACCATTACTTACTAGAGCTTCTTTTGCCAGTGCTACAATTTCCTGTTTCTATAGCCAGAGATCTGGTGTTACAAGTTGTTAATATTACCCCAGTTTCATTAATGTCAGCACCTTTGAATGTCTACCTGTATCATTCAGTGGAAAAACTTCTAAAATTCAGCAGAAAATCCTTAAAATCTATAAAATGCGGCAAAATGTAAAAGATAAAAGCTGTTCCACTGGGTCATTGTACCGACAAAAAACAAAGACACACAGTGTACATATGACATCAAAGCAGCAGCGTCTAGTGTGTTGAAACAAAGGAACATTTCAAATCGAGACTGCACCAGGGGAATTTACATCAGCGAGAGAATCAGCGCAAGATGACAATATTTGCATGCTTCAGATATGGTACCACGACAAATATAACGAGGGCTAAATTTATGCTGATGGCTGTGATCTGTGTGAATATATGTATTCATCTTTAATGTAAAAGGAGAGGAGTTTGTATAATTCATAGATATTTCATATAAGCTGACGTGTAAATTACACTTAGCGGGGCTTTATGGGAAGAGGAACTTAAAGAGACAGGAGCTAAAACAGTGTTTCAGATAGTTGGTGTGAAGAGATGCTGCAGAAAGTACAGTGAGTAATTTTTGAACATATTCTAATAGATCCTAAAAATCTAATGCTAAACTTGCAAATGTGCAAAATATGGGCTCTTTAAAGCATCTTTCAGCTCATTTCATTTAATTTTGGTTCACTCTCACTGCTCTGATAGCATCGATTATCAACCAGCTAGTGAACATTGTGATAGGTTAAATTACAAAAAAACTAATATTTTCCAAAACAAAGCTACAAGGAAAATAATTAGTGTTATCTGACATGTTTGCAAGTTTTTAAGGGTTGCCTTAGTGCTGGATTCTACACCCTCTGAGTGGCCAGCATATTATTATAGAGAAATTATGTTGATGGTACATATTAAAATTGTTTTTCAGAATAACAAACCCAAATCTGAGTCCAAACTGTCAGTGGTTTGGTTACATTGTGGGTAATGCAGGCACCAGGTTTTACCAAGAAAGACAAGTGTATGAAATAATAATATAGAAGATTTCTGATTCTTCTGCATTGATTTCGATACTTTTGTGAGGCAGACACTGTAAAAGGAGTGCAACGCTAAATCAGTGGAGTGAATTTTGTTCCTATTGGATTTGAAAATACAGTATAAATGTTTTCTAAGCTTCCTTCTACTGAAGACTCTCCTATTCAAAACAATATAAACAATACTTGAGAGGACAAATTAATAATAATTTAAATAAGAATTCCTGAATTTCCTCTATGGGGATCAATAAAGTATTATCTTATGTTATTATAGAAGCCTGTTCAATAAAACTGGGGTACAAGTTATATTTTCTTAAACACTACACGATTTTCCTTATATTTCTACCTGAAAAAGAGTCAATACAAAACCCAGCTAGTAAACACCTCATAACTGCTATTAACCTACTTGGGCACTTGAGAGTATTTTAAAACACAGCAGGTCTCTGTGTCTTTATCACCAGGCCAGAGATGGATTTGTAAAACAAGACAAAATGGACAATTTTATGTCATTCAAAACTGAACTAGAGAGTGAACTACAGTCTTATGGAAATGAGTCAGTGACACAGATGTTAATGAACCTGTTCTAAAAATTCTGCAACTCTACTCTTTATGCAACAGGAAAAAAAGCACAACATCGCTGCATTAATTTTAGTCTTCGTAGTATGATGCGGTGAATGTGCCACGCTTGGCAAGCTTCCAGACCTGCTGTAACAGATACAGGCTGACCCCAGCGCAGGGAGCTCCAGGGTGGAAGGAGGCAACGCAAAGCTGGTCTGCTCCAGTATTATGCAACTGAATTATGTACAGGAAAACAAAGCAAACACAAAAATACTATGAAAATAATCCTTAGTCTGTCTTTGGTATTGAAAGACACCCAATATTAAAGATCATGTCTTATGACCTAAATAATATGGATGTTTATTGGTTGGATGTTTGAGCTTTGTATAAAGAATGAAGAGTTTTGACACTAGAGGGCTGTTTTCAAAATAATTGGCTGAAAAGGGAAAGCTCGCCTGAGCTCACTGAATATCTGAGCTTAAGATCTTTAGCGAGCAGGATTTATAACATGACAAGTGGTTTGGAAACCAATATTTAACGTATAAAAAATTGATGTGGAGCCTTAAAAGCTGAAACACTGAAAATGTTCTTGCAGTGATGTAATAGACATTTTATCTACAGAAGATGAGACAAAGTATAATAGCATAATAATAAATTCTTGATTTTTTTCAATGAGAGAGGAGGGGTAGATGTCATTTTGAGAAGTTCTAACCAGGTGAGTGACAAATCTAAATCTAAATTCTCAGATTCGCTGCAACTTTAAATCCTCAGACAGGTGGATGAATTGTTAATTGTTAACTGCAATGTTGTACTAGAAAACCTTGGATCTAGCATTCATGTGGATGTTAGTTTGACAAACTACACTCACCTAAATATCATTATAAACTCCCCACACCCCTCAATGGTAACAGCACTCCTTGATGGCTGCAGGAATGGGTTGAGAAGCACGACAAAGAGCCCAAAGTTTCCCCGAGCATCCAGACTGCCCACATCCTGATCTGATCGAGGGATTCACCAGAATGAGCACGATCCATGGAGGCACCAACCAACATGACCCAAAGGATCTGATGTTTTGGCAACACAAGGGAATCTACATAAAACAGGAATGTGGTTTTAATATTGTGGCAGATGTGCGTTTACTTTACTCAAATATTCAGATTCTATTAATATACAAAAAATAGTTCATTTTCAGAAGTTGAACTAGTTGTTGAACTAAGTTGTTGTTATTGTTATTGTTGTTATTGTTGTTGTTGTTGCCATTGTTGTCATTGTTGTTGTATTCCCCCATTGTCTGACCTCTTGCCCCCCTCCCCTTTTCTTTATTGCTGTCCTGTCCCCCCTGTTCTGGTCCGGTCGTCACAAAGAATAAAATATAAATCACACTACAGGAGAAGTATCTCAGACTTCTCCCGTAGCAGAGCAAATCTGTGTGGCACGACTGGGCATCTAGAACCATCACACTATTTGCCCAAGTTGCTGAACAGAACAGGTTAAAAAAAAAAAAAAGAAGTTGAACTAGAGATGCCAGATGTGTCCAGCTTCACTAAAAGTCCATTTTCAGTGTATAATATCACAGTCTAACAAACTGTCCTATAAAGTTAAACTAAAATCCTGGCAGCTGCTGTCAGTGGTACAATTATAATTGACCTAAACAGTTAATTCCTGCATAATTGATTACCTTACTCTATAGTAGAATAGGAGGTTTGCTGTTTAATAATATAACTCATCCTTCCAGTAATATGCAGTATTTATATTGTGTTGCCACTGATATCAGCATTAACTGTAACTGTAGTTTTGTGTCTTGTTCATTTTATTTTGTGTGTTTTTGTCATTTTTGTCTAGCCTTTGCAATTTTGTGTGTGGTCTTTGTTATTTTGTGTTGTTCGCTGTTTTGTTTGTGTCGTTTTGTTTCTCATTTTTTAGTAAAATATAACTTCTGCTGTTTAATACTGTAGTTATACTGTCCAGTAATTAGCATTTACTGTAGCTGTAGCTGACGGTAGAGTAGAACATTTGCTGCTTTTAAAATGTATAAACAGCAAATTGCAGACATATACTATAAATAAATAAACGTGTAGTATTTATTACCCACATTCAAGTTCTACTAACTCTGTTTACCATTTAAAAATGCATGTAACACTAAAAAAGCTCAAACAATAGAGGATAAAGGATAAAACAAGTTGCATTTTTAAAGATCAAGAACATTTATTCTAAGGCAACAATGCATGCCAAATTGTAATCTATGAACTGCATTTTAGAAATTAAAAAAAAGATCATTTAAGTTCAGTTTATCAGTGTAAAGTGAGCAATAATATTCTTAGTCACCTAAATCTCATCAGTAATCTAAACAGTGCTTCATGAACTGTTGCGTGGAAACCTTTGCTTCTGTTCACACCATGAACTTTTACAATGTCCCACTTTTATTTTGTTTTTGACTCCAAAAAGGCTTCAAATTTTGCTTTTTTTCCCCAAACTATACTGTGAAGAAACTGTACACTACTGTTAGAATTTGACTGCATTATTACAGTCATTTATTACAGCATGAGCGCTGGATTCTCCACATCATACTTGTATGAGATGCACAAGCGCCAGCCTCTGCACATATATCATCCTGCACCATAACAGCTGTTATATTAAATCATGTTCGGGCCCCAGAGCTGCTGCCAGTTACACCAGTTCAGTTTGAGGCTCATTGACTTGTTTATTGTAACTCTAATTTAACTGTAATGGCACTTTAGATTTATGTTTTGCAGGAAAACATACAGAACTCCAACCTCCAGTCAGAGCTACACTGGCAAATACACCAAAGAGTCTAAAGACACAAAATGGGCTTTTATTGACTTACTTCATAAACTTCAAATAACTCGA